TCGAACTTTTAGCAAATTTTATATAGATCATTAAGGAATTGAACTCGCACATTAGTACAACTTGTCTATTTAGAGGGTTAGAACATGATTGATCTTTCAGCAAATTTTAAATGGATCATTAAGGCATTGAACTTGCACATTAGTACTTGTCTATATTCCTTAATTTTTCGAGTAACTATAGATATTAAGTTCCATTAAAGGATTGAATTAGTCAAATCGTAAGTGATGTGAGAGATAGAATGATGCTAGGTTTCTTTGTACATAATATAGATAATAAATCGATGAAGAATAGAAAAAAGTGGAGAAACCATTTTGCCATCGTGAAAGAATTGTCAAGTGCAGTTTATTCACTAAACTAACGGACTTTCGAACGATCATTTTTGTGCATATTTACCCAAAGGTTTGGGAGGACAGAGCTAAAAGATAAAAGTTTGAGACCCATTTGTACATTTTGAAAAGCCTAGGGACCCTATTGCAATCTTCCCTTGTATTATTTAATTATCTTACAAAATGACTTTTGTAACCTGAGTCTTTTTTTTTTTTTTTTTTAAATTAAGGTCGAGAAGCAATGAAAATTACGTACACAATGCTTTGATCATCGTTGCCTTTATGACATTTTCGGGTCAAGAAGATTGAAATGATTCAAATTTTCTCTATTTCATTGCGTTATCAACTTATTTTCGGCTTCTTATCCCAAATTTGATTGGTAACACTATGTCATCAGCAAAACTAGCTATATCTCCGAAAAATTTAAGATATCCATGCTTGTCGATGAATAGTCATTAGATTATCTACTAGAATGACATGTGTTCTATTATATACATAATTTACTCGATCACCAAACAAGTTTGAAGTGTGAATTTATAAGTATGACACTACAAGTTAACTTCAGAACTTGAACAAGAGATGATCGAACATGAACACGTAGTTGCACCCTTCAACTTAGCTCCATTTGACTCTCATTTTTTAAAAAATAATGCTATCTAATACCAGTAATATTATAACACCAATCTATATAGCGTCATGTGAGAGGTTCGACTAAAAGTGAAATTATGTAATTTATTTAATTGTATCTGTCCTTTAATGACACTTAGTGCCATTTAAAATGATGTTATAATATTAATGGTACTAAATAAAATTATTTATTTCTTAAAACTTATTTTTTTAAAGTTTATTTTCAAATCAATTCATGAGATTCATTACTTTAATAAGTTTTTTAATCGCACATTTCATTAATTTTTATTAAAGTCATGCACGAACTTAAGCTGTCGCTTTATAGTATTTCCAAGATTCCTTTTCTATATTAGGCACCGCCTACCAGATCATGTTATGTGAGTTTCTTGTAGAATCAGAATGCGACAACTCAGGTCTTGACAAATTATGTCTTCAATTATGTATGGCAAGCTCATACATTTCATTGATTGATATCCTCTCAAGGGTTGGTACTTGGTAGGTGGTGAGTGATACATATAGGTTAGACAATTGGTCAAGCTCGTACTAACCTTTTTGGTGTCAGCCTAGTGGGTCGACGGAAGATTACAACGGGCTATAGTCGATGTCAAATTGATGTTCCTCTAAAGACAATAAATTAGTTATACTACTCGATCACTAAGTCGAGTATCGACTCGATCTAATGTAAAGGATCACTATAGATATAGGATAGTTCATCATAGTTGTAGTACGTTTTCAATTCATGAAATTGAGATAATATGACACCAAGTGTTCACTTCCACCAACAATATTTTCATCTTGTTGAATTGCCTAGACGTAAAAGGTAAAGGCGCGTTTCTTTCAATTTTTACTTACAAAGCAAAATATTGCCCACTTTTTTACCTTCTTCATATGCAAACTTAATCATTGGAGAAGTAACAAAGAACAGTAGCTGCTCTTCTTTTAACAAGTAAATTGAGTAGAATAGGAACTCCCGATTTCTTGGTCTCATAAGAGCATTTTCAATCATGATGTAAAATAGATCTAAATTATAATTTAGATATTCAAAGTGGTTGAAAACTTCTCCGATAAAGAAATGTAATCCACAAAAAAGCAAAAAGTAAATTTAGATATTTCCATTAAAGCAAAATTTGAACTTAGATCCACTGGGATATAAATGAGAATGTGAAAATGATTTAAAAATATCAATATACATCTAATTTTACACTATCATTGAAGATGCTCTAAGTAGGCATCCCCAAAGTTCTTCCCTTCACAATAAAAAGGATAAAAAAGATTGAACTTCGAGTTGAGTTTAAGATTTCAAAAAATTAATTTATCTTCTCAATATAGTATTAGGATGTAAGATCTTGGTTGGTGAAGTCAAGACTTTCGCATAAAGGATCGTGAAAGTTGAGACAATTTTGATAATTATCAAACCTAGAAACTAATCTGTTAAATTCAAAATTACACAAGTTTCAAATTTGAAATTACATGGAGAGAATCCAATCCCCCTGACCCCCCAAGGGAAAAAGAAAAAAGAAGAAAGTTAAAATAAAATCTTTAATAATACAATAACTGCTCATCCCTTCAAGACAGAAATTCCATGAAGTCTACATCAACAGCTCAATTCTCTTGACACGTAATTCAAGTGAAGTCCCGTCGTGTAAGCAAATCGGGGTTTTAAGCAGCGGTACCCGAACCTGAGATGCTTTGTTCTTGATCAGACGGCTTCCTGGACCCAGTAAATGGCTTCCGATGAGCTGGAAAACTTCAGTATCGATTGAAACAAAACCAAAACGTCTAATCCTAAAGCCCGACCCATTTTACCCATCTGAAAACTTTGCTAACTCTTAAAGGTAACTCATAGTCTTTAGCTACAGCAGGCACCCTTTTTGCTGTCTCAGGTTCCGACCACACGTACACCCCACGTTCCTGTCTACTGCCCAGTACCGTGTTGTCAAGGATGACAGCTACTCGGAATGCAATCACCATGTGAAGTGACAACAATGTATTCAGAAACTAGTTTAGCTGCATGAGACATAGAGAACTTTCAGGGCAAATTCTTAAAATATAGAAAGGTTGCATCATTGGCCTCCAAATTATTGGCCGAGTAACTACTTGTTCCCAATCTCTCAAAATGAGCAAGTTGATCCCCAGCTAGTTACGGAACAAAATCCGCCCCAATCATTAAATCATCTTGTCTCACTTTCTTATACTCGGGAACCAACCCAAGT